AAAATCATTAGATGACTCCATAATGTATGGACCATTATTTTACAATCAAAGCAGAATTAGTTGAAGTCAAAAGTTTCAAAACTATTGAGATGCCCACAAAACAGGTGTTGAATGGGGAGCAGTTTTACACTTGCTAAGAACATAACCATTTTGCTACTGTATAAAGCCAACCAAACACGTTCATGTGACGTACCTCATCTTTTTCATCCAACAAGAACGTCATGATTTTCTGGAAGAAAAGTATGAAAGAATGGTCTGTTTATTTAATCATATGTTGGCAAATTGAAAAGCGAAGAACACTACTGTGAAATAAATACATCCAAGTTACAAACACATTTATGTACTTACGTCTGTGTACGAATAGCCACTGTTTGTAAGTATAAATGTCTTGCGCCCATTTTTCCTCATTCTAGAATTATAACGAATTGAAAAATTACTTTTTTGAAAGGACAAGTTTGTGTACGGTAAAAACAAAACTTCAAATTGATGAAAAAGTAAGTTGACTTGGTAATAAAGTTATTCATTCATTAAATTCTAAAAACGTTAAACATACCTGCTCAATAACTTTGCAAGTTTAGGCTAAAACAAAATCATAATGAAAAAACATTTAACCACCTCTTTGAAATCATATTATTTTATCAGCTCAGTACAGTTTGCCATTACTATTGCAGATACTTCTTGAACTCTAGGACATGTCTCAAAATTCTTTCAATTTTGTTTAAGTTATACCAATGAAAGCATGAGCCTTAATATCTTTCATGATGTACTGATAGCGATTTCATTTTCTATGTTAACTGATACATTTAGTAATTAACACATACACAGCGGTTCAAAGTATTTCCACATAATTATTGTTTTGGCCATTTATCCTAACCTGGACCAAAACTCTAGAATTCCAGTAACGTTTATAAATTTTGTGACTGATATTATGGTGGCTCATTTTATGGACAGCCAAGTAAACTTCAACAATGGCCTCTACACTACTGATGGAATGAACAAACTCAAGTCATTGACATATATGTGAAAAATTGAACTAGTATACAAACTTGTACTGACCTCTTTAATAACATATGTGTCAAGGTTATCAACAGTGTTTTGTTTCAGTGTTCCCTGCAAAGAAGACACAAGTTTGTTTTGTTAAAACACATTTGTGTGCTGTTAGAACATTCATCACAAGGGTAGTTAGGTATAATAGCAACAGGGAGGTTCAAATGAGACCAAATTGTCAAACTCCCAAAAGGTTCTATCATGCAAAGGCCAGACCCACAAAAAATCCGTCATTATAGAATATGACACAAAAAAGTCCTTTTTTGACGGCATAAAAAAATACAGTGTCAAAAAAACAAAACATCATGGGAGTTCCAGGCAAGTTTTACATTCACCTTCCTTTATTCATCATAATACATCACGAATCTGTCTCAAACTTTAGGCAGACTGCACTCTTTGTTTGGAATTTAAGAGCAAAAACCAAAATAATAATAATAATAATAATAATAATAATAATTAATAATAATAATAATTAATAATAATAATAATTAATAATAATAATTAATAATAATTAAAAGTAATAATCATAATCATAATCATAATCATAGTCATGATAATCACAAAAGATACTGTTTGTGACAGAATTTAGGGAAACCCCACAGAAAAGTCCTTACCAAAATCTTTTGCCCCAAAAAAGTCATGGCAAATTTTCTAACCCAAAGTAAGTCCCTAGATCCCAAGTTTCAAACCCCCAAAAGGTCTTTGCATCTACTGATCACAGGGCATTTCAGTAAATGTTTGTGCACATGCTTAATGTACACTCAAATTATTTGCATGCAGTATCATGCATCGAGCATGCACTCTACAGTAAGTAATAAAATGGGGCCGTTGCAGCTATAAGTACATGTACATGAATTTGGCGATCTTGGAAGTTCAGTGACTCATTTTTGTTTTGATAAATCACTTTCTCTATTGTTTCTCTAGTTTAATTAATTTATCAAAAACAAGCTATGCTTCAAAAGTCTATTATCATTAAATCTGATATAGTTCAGTGGTGCACGTCATGTGCCTGATGTTCCCACTTAAAATGATACCTTTGAGTGAGTTGTGACCTTGGTGTGAGAGCTGTTTGAAACTTTAAGGCAGGGTCAGGATTGACCAATCTTAGATTTTGAAATTGAATTCAGAATCTATGGCAAATGTTGAATATCAACAGTATTGTCACAGACTTACCTTCAAATGAACCCAGTCTACTGCTGCCCTGACATCTTGATGAATGCTTTTGTAAGTCAAAAGCAACTCATCTGAGCTAATAACACCATTACTTGTTCTGTGGACAAGAATCCAATGGCATCTTGTATTTCAGTGGTATAACAAACTTTCAATCATAATTTCTAAACACAGCCTTATTACCATAAAGTCATTAATTTAGACCTTCAAGGTTTTAAAAGCTCACTAAAGGCAAAAACATATTATTCATCATAAATTTCAGAAAATTAACTATTAGTCAGTAAAAGTATGAATTGTACTCACCGTTTAAAATCTGGACTGTTGTCAAAGTAATTCACTAAACAGGCCAGCAAATGTGTTTCTGTCATAAAAAAGCAAGTCAGCATTGACATTCCTTCAATAAAAATATTTGCAACCCAATATACTGTAAGGCAGTTAACAGAATCTTTCACCCCTCTACTACACAGGCATAAATGAAAATCTCACTATTAACAACAACAACATTATCACACTTTTTAAGAAAAATGTTTACATATTAATGGCAAAGAACAGGAACTGATAAAAGTTACTCAGAGTAACTAAAGAGCTCTTTTAGCTGAGTCACAAAATTGAAAATGACTTAAAGGTTGTTGGCAATGTAGTGTTAAAATTTATAAGAAAGAAAACAAAAAACAAAAGAAAATAGTTCTGTGGTTATAAATAAATACAGTTGAACCTCCGGCTGCGACCACCCCTCCTCAGTGAACAGTTTTCCAAAATACCAAAAGTCACATCACTATATTTGGAACCTCTTGTGAGTGACCACCTCTTGTAAGGGACCATGGCCACTACTAGAGCTAAAAGTTTGAAATTTTCTTTGTTTTTAACCTCCTGTAAGCAACCACTTGACAGATAATAGAGTGGAAATTGGATAAGAAGGTGTTGTAACATTATCGTATTCCTGGGTAGTACAAGAGATGGAAATTTCTCAATGGGAAGTACGAGATTTCTTCTCGAAATTAACTTTTCACAAGTCAGAATAAAACACTTAAAACGTGCATGCGTAGTCAAGATATGCTAATGAGGCAAAATTTTGACCCAATATGGTCTAAGCTCCTGTAAGCGACCACCTCTTGTACGCAACCGCCTAGGCTTGACATTTTGGCTGGTCACTTATGGGAGGTTTGACTGTATAACTAAAAGGTCAGAAAGATAATACATAGGTACCAGTTGAAAGTTATGGATATCAATATTTGATTACGGAATGAAGTACATGTTTTACTTATACATACACCATAGGTCCTTATCAGGTTAAGTTTCAGTATCTGTTTGAACGACTTTAGGAAATGTTGTTTCAAGCTTGTCTAAATCATTCCAAATAGTGGCTACAGCTAAGCAAGTGTTAAACTTGCCATTAACTAGTTCTAACAGTATGACCAAATTAGTTGGATTGACCAGCAAGTCTAGTATTGAAGTAATGCTTTAAAGATATAGTCTGGAAAAGATTACATTGCAAAGTATACCTGGCAAGTTGAATAATGTATTCAGTATGAAATATCTTGAATTGTCTGCCTGTAACGTAAAATTATTTGATATTTAAATTCAATAATTCTACAAAGTTATTTATTAAATCAATATTTCAGAATTCTGCATTCAGGTTTGTCTTAATGGCTGATATATTTGTTATACTAGTTTGGAAAATTTGGCGATCTAGAAAGAATGATGTTCCTTTGACGATCAGTCCGTCAATCCTTATCCATGGTGGGTAATAACATGCATGTAATAATCAATAAAATGTATGGAAAAGCACACATTTGTTGCTCTAGGACTCAGAAATTACTTTTTATTTGCTTCTGGAAAAAAGTTGGCATAAAAAATTTCTTACTTAGATAAACTAAATTTGAATCTTACTTGAACAAACTTGTTGGGGTACAATTTCCTCACTTCATAACTGTAAGAAGAAGGTACATGTATTATTAGAAAAGAGACATTTGCAATATTAATATCATGAAAATCAACCAGAAGTATATTAAGATACTGTAACCAAAAGAACACAAAAGAGTTGCAACACTGTATACATTGCAACACTGTATACGTTTTTGATACTCATTGTTGGACACTGTTCCAAATGGTCACGAAGATTGTTTAAGAAGTGTAACACTCGTGAACTGAGTTCTTTTAATGAAAGTACACACATTTCAGAAATTTGTTATTATACAAACACTTCAACGATGGAAAGAAGCAGTCTTAATTTTGTTAACAACCACGCTGCTAGGCTTCTCACTATCTATAACAGAATCTAGATAGTGAGTAGCACAGTGAATAAGAGAACAGTATTCCTGATAGATAGTCGGTAGATTTGTACCAATAACTTGATAATTTTGTTTCTTGCTTTCCCTAAAATCAACTACCTCAGGTTTTTCACTACAAAAGATACATGTATAAGCAAATGCCCATTACTTTCAGAGAAATTGCACCTACCCGTTCAAGAAATCAAAACCATGAACACAAACAAGAATGTTTCCATAAGTGTCAACCTACAAAACAAGTCATATGTTACTACATGTAGTTACTTTAAATGATGCAAGACTGCAATTACATGGTTAGATCTTATCAACAGTTATCACTGAACAGTACTTGATAAGACCATAACTTGTAATCAAGTGATGCTCACTTGACAGACATCGAAAAATCAACCAAAGAAAATTGCATGCTGACAATGTACGTAGCTCTACTGTGATCAATGCCAGCAGTTTCTCTGATCATGATTGGTTTTTGCTTGGTTTTGAATTTTCACAGGCAAGTAATAATGGTGATCATATTATCTGATGTAATTGTTGGATGAGGTACAGTATTTTGTGACATTCAGAATATTCAAGGGGGAGATAATGCTTACCAAGACCTTCATTATTCTGGATATTATTGAAAATCTCATCCAATAATAATTTTACTATTATTATTATACTGGACAGGTATAATTGCTATCTTGTTATTGATGTCTCAAGTACAAATTATTAATTTATAAAGCACACACCTTCAGCAGATTTCCTAGCTCACAGTCAAAGAAGAGACCCCTACCAAAAAACAAGCAAGCACTTATTAAACTCAAGGAAGCCACACAGTTAATAGTTAATACATGTTGTATTAAATGGTGATGAGCATATCTTGTAGCATTATCAAAACGTACCTGACAGGAAAGTCTTCATTGTATTCAAATTTGAGAATATCCTGCAAAAGAGAGGGGAAAAAAATTAAAAGACAGTAATAAAAATGCTTTTCATCATTATGTAGAATTACGTCTATGAAAATGTACAGGGTTATTTTCCACGAAATATATTTGGAATATTTTAAAGCATAAAAAATCCTTCAAAGTCTTTTGATTCAAAAAATATCTTCACAATTTCCAAAGCATAAGTCCATCAGTTGAATCTTAAATGCCCCATGAGTGGGAAAGGAATCAAGTTTAAGAAGAGAGATGAGAGTTTATTCACACCAGTATATTTGAAGGATTTTTAGTTAAGCTTCATAACAAAATCATATATTAAATATTAACTAAAGTTATTCCTCAAGTCACAAAACCTTTATTTGAAAATAGAATGGCCATGTACATGAAAATCAATTAATTTAAAATAAAAATTAAATTGAGTATTTGGCCCTAATGTTCAGACTCTGTACATGTAAAAGAAAAGTAATTCTGAATCAAAGTTCATCCTTTAATTTAAATTACCTGTGGGTAACCAATAGAGGCTAACCTCTCACAGATTAAGTCAAAGGCTTTCTTTTCATAGACTGGGGATTTATAAACTAAAACAGAAACAAAGAGCATTATCTATTAATATATGTATTGTTTCAGAAAATATCCAAACAGCTTTACACATTGTGCCAGAGGTTCACTGGAAATACACGAGTGTACATCAGGCAGGTACAAAAGTCGGATCAACTCGGACTGCCAGTCCGGGTCGGATCAACTTGGATCAACTCAGATCAACTTGATCATTGTCCTCCTCAAAAACTATCTTCAGGATCTTTGAAAATCGTTTTAAATTCGCTTGTATAAAATGTCAACCATTTTGGACTAAAATCCCTTGTCGTCAAGCAGGCCAAGTTTTGCTTAATGATTAGCTAAATCTATCAACTTCCTGTTCTCCAAATTAGGAGCCAAATGGAAGTAAAGCGAATTTCTACAAAATCATGTAGTGTAACAGAAATGGGTTATGACTGAAACTATCAATTTGGTGGACAGATCCAAATTCATTGAGAAAGATTTACCTTCATCTGGGTCCATGATCGCAGAGATCGACGGATGGATGGATGGACGAACACGAGATGAGTCCAAGAGGAACTGGCACTTAGAATACAAAATGGCGGCTTGGCTACACAGCAAGACACGGAGAAACGTCGGGAGTCTTTCTTAATTTGGCCTATTTTTGACCGCAATTTTAACCTTCAAATAAGTAAAAGTTTCAATTTCATTTAATCTTATGTTTTTTTCATGATCCGAGACGATCCGAGTCGATCCGAGTTGATCCGACCCAGACTGGCGGTCCGAGTTGATCCGGTCCAACTTTTGTACCTGCCTGTGTACATCCTAAGGAAATGAGGGCTGCAAAGGACAAAACATCTAAAGGACTGTTAGCCTGTACCAAGCATTTGGGTTGTAATTTGGGAGCCATGAAATGAGTTGCAAACTGAGAGCCTGGAACAGGCTAAAGGAATCAAACTTAAAGACAAACTGGAATTTTAAGAGGGATAGGGAATCAAACTAATCTACAGTGTCACCCTCTCTGGGGGAGTATGCGCTGTACATGTACCTACCCGATATGCAGAGACGGTCATTGAACATTCCAAAGGAAATGATACCTTCAAAGGTCAAAACTTTTAAAGGAGTGTGTAAAGATAATATATAAAATTTCCAGAGGGTAGGGGATCAAACAAAATTTAAAGATGGATATTTTCTGAATAAGCAATGTGTCATAATAGCTAATCCACAACATACGACCCAAAGGACAGTCAAATAGTGCAGAAAAGATCTAGTGTTCGATTTTGTAAGATGTATAAAAACCACTAAACATGCGCTAAAATGCTGTGTTCAAATGTACTGCAGCACACCAAGCTACATGTACACTGTATGTAACTTCTCATTTCAGTGTTACATGTGACTTAATTTTAGTCTTACTTTATTGCAAGACAAAGTTTATAAAAAATTTTTAAATGTGGCACTTGAAACCTGGAATTATTTATAATAATAATTATTAAGTTTTGCCTAAGATTCAAGTTTTCTGTTTTGACTGAAAATAAAAACTATCAATTAACTCTAACTTGTGGTACTTATTGTTGGTAAATTTGTGTTTGATACATGACCCTGTTGCTCTGGGTTTCAATTGTCATATAAAATAATTTTTAGAACAGCTTTAATTTGATTGATATGCACCAAAACAGGACTATTTTATATGCATACATGTATGTGCATACATGTATACACATCTGTATAACTGTACAAAGGATCTAAATAAATGCAGAACTTGATCAATATTCTGCAAATTACCTGCTAAAGTATAGTCCATGTCAAAACCAAAGAATTTAATTTTGTCCAGACTAAGACTTCTGTTGACGAACACTCTGGAAAAAATGGGAATAAAAAGTTAATTCAAACTATACCATACACTCTACCTACATGAAATTCAGAGTTAACAGATCCTAGCAAAATTTAAGCCTTGTTTGTAAAAGATAAAGCATCATATAATACATGGTATAAAAACAGAGTGACACAAGTTCAATTTCTTGACATTACACATGTACTTGCAAATTGACTCTTTTGAAGTCTGATAAAGGTTACCATAGTTACAGGCCTGACTGTCCAAAATACAGGTAATAAGTTTCACAAAAGGTTGATTACAGCAAGAAGACCAGAACTGGGGTGGGTGGACAATAGAATGGATATATGGACCCCTATTACTTATTTAGAGAAGTTGAGATATTAATCTGTCCCTGGGAACCATATACATGTAGTTTTTTTTTTTTTCATCCCAAATGCTTCAGGAACTAGCATCATCTCAGAGAACCTTGATTCTCCGAGGGCCAAGCTGCTGCTTTCCTTTTTTAATCCAAATGCTATCGATCACTATTTCTGAATATCTGCTTATCTGGAGCTGACTCTGTAATGCCCATTTCTGTAGCATGGAGTGACCATGGACATAACAGTAAATTGCTACCCAACATGAAGGACATGATAATACTACATGTACAGTTATGTATGTATGTAGCTCACTGCAGATTTATTACAATATGACTACTTGAACTGGGCCACCTAGAAAAAACCTAATCAATCAAAACATAAAATGAGAACAATAGACTGATAAGATTTTTGTGAAGGCAAGTATTAAGTTTCTGTTTGACATGAAAACATAAACACCATCCACTCCTGTGTTGTATACACTCTTATACAGAACAACAACAACAACATTCAGTCCTTAGCAGTGAATTAAAACTTGTTTTGTGACAACTTAAATCAACAAATGGTAAAGTTTCCTGAGAGGTCTGCAATACAAATACACTTTTGTCGGGTTTCCAATTTTGTTTATTTAACTATTCTTTGTATTCTTCAATGTTATTGGTTTATTTATTAAGAAAAAGATCACTATCCTTCCTCCTTAAGTAACATTCTAATTGGTTAACTCTTTTCCAAGTGGTTTGAGTGGTCACACTGTAAGCATATTAATTTGATTAGCCCTAGCCATCAATAAGCTGCAGGAAAACATTTTATACACTCAGGTAAGGGGAGGTGTTCAGAAGACTTGCTTATGGACTTACCTATTAGCAGTGTCTCTCTTGAATGCCTTTGTCCCATCAAGAGTATCCACACTTGTGTTAAGGTCATAAGGGTGGGATGGGTATGGCATCTTTAAATCTAACACTTCTTTAGCAGCAGTCCGCTTTTTCTACAACACAGAAGAAAAGAAAACAATGCAGTTATCACTTCAGGCTCATCTTACAATTTATTTAGAAGTTATTCATTACCAAAATAATTTTGATTTCATCCACAAGTTATGTTACAGTTTACACTGTATATCAAGACCTATTGCCTGACAGAAGATCATACATTGTACTTCATCAGTCTCACTGGCACTTGTCTACCTATATGGCAGATAGCCAACACTGCAAACTAGGTGGCTAATTGAAGTTCCATTTTTACCTTTATAAGGTTAATAACAGAGAAAGTTCGTGTAGGTGGCAATCAAAGTGAATTTGCTTGACACAGACAGCAAATTTTGCAGGTTGCTGACTGTTATTGAAACCTCTGCATCTGGTAGTGAACCAATATTTAAAAAGCCTAAGTCTGGTCTAATCCAGTTGATCAGAGAAGTTACAGTGTAGGCAGCCCATCAGAGCCAAACTTCTAAAACTCTGACTAGTTCATGAGCAAAGAGCTATTAGAAGAAAGTATTATTTCTGTCTCTGGTTATGATAACAGTCTGATCTAGAATGCAAATCTCATCAGGCAGCCCCAACAAGTTGCCAGTGCTCACAAATTTACTGTTAGGAAAAGGGAGGCATTGTAAAAGTAAAGAGTCTTACCCACAAACAAAACACAGTGACTGGACTACTGACGCTGAGTCCAATATGTTAAGTCCATTGTAAAATGAACAGAATATAAAATAGAGACTGAGATAACCTGAAGATCACATTCACTGAGTGTCTATGGGTTTGGCTGCTTATACATGTAAGTAAGAGATTCTTTGCTGCAATCATTTGAAAAAGCCTGACACTTCTTTGAAGCACAGACAAGTATTCAACCAATAAAGCTGTAGAGAGGGTAGATTGAGGTCCTTAAATAATTATGTAACCATTAAATTGAGTATTAAAATAATGTACCTGTCCTCAAATCATGAGCAGGCTTTAAAATTCATGAAACATGAAATGAAAATGCATCTCTCTTGCTCTCTGAAAAGCAGTTGGAAGTTATGGAGTAAAGGAATGTAACAGCTTGTATTTACCACCAGGTGACTAAACAATATTAAGCTGTTTTATTATGATTAAAGTTGACTAAAAAGGAGAAACATTAAATTACAAAATTTGAAGCATCCTGACATGACTGTATAGATTGACTAGACCTTCAAGGGTGCATTCTGGAAAATATTTTCTGTACACAAAGAAAAAGGTAGTAAACTATATATCACTACAAAGCTAATAAACTGTAGAATCCAAAAATAAAAATATACTTTGCCACTTTTGTTTTGATAAGTGTCAAACTGACCATATTTGCTAAACTATATTTCCCCCCCCCCCCCCCCTTGTGTTACTGTGTACATTCAAACTGACTGGACTATATTACTCAGGAGATGATGGTCTAACGAAGTGAGTGGGCTTTTCAATATGTCACTTGGTTGCTTGTGGATAACTTGGTTACATTTCAATTTTTATTGATTTTTTTATTTAAAAAAAAAGAAAATCCAGGTTAAGTAGACATCTTTTGCATGAAAAAATATTTAGGACAAAATCAACCCTGGAAGGTCTACAGGAACCTTAAAAGACGGCAGCAAAGGGTTTATGTAAGATGCGCGATGAGGGCAAAAAATTAGTGCGTGGCAGATTAAAGGGATATGTAATATTTGAGTATTATTAAAATTTGTAGAGGTGCCAGTATCTCAACAACATGATCCAGAGCTTTGGGGATAAATGCTTGGATGGCTGCTAATGCATGCACAGTGTAGCATCCTTCATGAATATACAGTTTGGTCAGAAGGGGTTATATGCCTCTGGTTTGGTTTGTTATGTGTATCATGTTGACCACATCTACATATCACCAATTTCATTTTATTCTGTAAAATTTCATCATTGTACTCATTACAAGGAAACTAATTTAATTTTTGTTTTCCTCAAAGCTTTTCGCTTCTACATGTAACTGAAGATAATATTGAGAAAATAATTACATATCCTACAGCACTGCCCTTGGGTATATATATGCAGAGCAGTAAATTTCATGCAAATTGGAATGAAACCAAAACGTCACAAATTATTAACGTACTGAGATTGCAACATAAAGTAAGACGGTGTGCACATGAAAAGTTTAACTTTGGGTTACAATTTTCAAAAATTTCACATTTCTAACAATTTTCCTATCTAGAATTTCAAGTAAAATTTTCAAGCAAGTCAGCATTTCACACTTGACAACGCAAAGCACCGTGGAAAGGTTAGCAATCACCGCCAACATTAAAAAGCATCGTTTACATAAGCTTAACTGAAAGACAATGCTCTTCATATTTTTCCGTTAAGAGTCCTTATTATAAGTACAAGTTTATGAAAGGAAGACGTGGAATTAACGAACGATGCTACCAATTTCATTCAGACCTACTTGCCGACCTAAGTTCAACTGCATCAATAAAGTTCAACATGATACCACAAATAACACTTGTTAAATCGTATGAAAACCAAATAAAGCAACTAAAATGATCAAGAAACTGATGTTTTGATAAATAAAAGACAATGATTTCATCATTTCATTCACCTGAACGGTGTGAGTCACGTCACCGCACAGAGGAAATAAAATAATCTTACTTTCAACCTTACCTTCAAATATTCATCAACCCCATTTGCACTGTTTTTTGTCTTTGAATTCATCGTGCGCTATGGCTTCACTGGCTTCGCTTTACACTCGAAATGAAGACGGATTTGAAAGAAATTATGTGAGGCGAGTTTCACCGGAACAAAGATCTGAAAGAGTAGCTAGTCCGGGCAAACAAGTTGCTCACGAGTACAATAGCCAACCATAACAAGAATGTGATTGGTCGAAAATAACAATAGAGGTGAATGCATCGTTCTCACGCAAGGCAGCTTGGCCACGAGTTCGGCAAACTTCTTGTTCAATATTGAGGTGTCCTCTTCGCCTTGCAAAGGTGCAAACGGGACGAGCAGAATCTTGTGACGGCGACGAGCTCAAGCGATCAGGCTATTGTAATCAGTAACGCGGACACAATATCTTAGCGTCAGACTTCAAAGAACTTGAGTAACTTAGTCAAGTTACATCAGGCGGGCGACAAGCACCCATTGACGCTACACAATAACGAATTGTCAGTAAATATTTACAGTCATGCAATCTTACCTTCTACTCTTTGTTAATGAAAGAAATTTTCTTAGATCAACCCACAAATTGCATTTTCTTCGACCTTTGGATTCCACGACATCGAACCACCTTGACGCACCATCAAAGGTGCAAGGATCTGCACAAACATGAACGTCATCATATGATTGGTCCAAGTTCGTATTTTGCCAGGATAAACCAATCACGAAGCTTCTTGTAGATTTATTGTTGAAAGAGAATGAAAGGTCCCTGCAGGTTTTAAAAATGCCCAGCAGATCCTTTTGTACACCATCCAAGTAGTTTTTATCAGTCAGGTGAAAAAGCTAGTGGAAGACAAATAAGCAACTGGAAATAAAATCCTCGGAATTAGATAAAGGGTCTAGTTACATTGTATAATTTTGAAACTTAAAGTTAACTACTATTTTTATAATGTTTATTCCTATTTCACAGAAAACTGTTTTGGAAATCACAGTTCACGGCTACTGACGATAGCCGGGATTCACGAGGGAAGAAATCGGTCGTTTCACCTATATCAGGGGAAAAAATTAGGCCATTCACGAATCCCGAAAGTACTCTTTACTGACCACCTTCAGATAAAGAGATAAGAATTGAAATGTGCAATATATATGAAGTACTAATTAAAATTCTTGGAAATTCAGTCAGAACCATAAAACCAACGTTTTGTCCGTTTCAGGCTTAGCCCTAAACCTCTAGTACGTATGGCGCGCCCGGTCCTCACTTGCGACGCAAGTATAAGCCGATCAATACATAAGAAGCTTAAGCGCTAGTGGAACGGCTGCGACATAAACATGAGCATATATTAAGCTTTCTTCTTATGCTAATGCTTATGCTTCTGCTTCTGCTTGCGTCGCAAGTGACGACCGGGCTTTATGCCTATGCTTATCTCTGGCCGTCCCCACTAGCGCATAAGGTTCTTTTATACTTATGCTTGAGTCGCAAGTGAGAGGGGTATTTATGAGAAAAGGAGGATCAAGGAGGGTGGGGAGGGGGAGGGGGGGAGAGGCCAATCAAAAAATTTAATTGACCCCTGTCAAGGGGTACTTGAAATAAAAAGAAGCAACGGACAGCTTGCCAACAACTGAACTTGCTCAGTCGTTTCGGGTGTAGTCCTCTCTCTGTATGTCAGAAACGTTTTTTTGACATAAACGCAACNCGTTTCACCTATATCAGGGGAAAAAATTAGGCCATTCACGAATCCCGAAAGTACTCTTTACTGACCACCTTCAGATAAAGAGATAAGAATTGAAATGTGCAATATGAAGTACTAATTAAAATTCTTGGAAATTCAGTCAGAACCATAAAACCAACGTTTTGTCCGTTTCGGGCTTAGCCCTAAACCTCTAGTACGTATGGCGCGCACGGTCCTCACTTGCGACGCAAGTATAAGCCGATAAATATAAGCATAAGAAGCTTATGCGCTAGTGGAACGGCTGCGACATAAACATGAGCATATATTAAGCTTTCTTCTTTTGCTAATGCTTATGCTTCAAGCATAAGCATTAGCAAAAGAAGAAAGCTTATGCTTGCGTCGCAAGTGACGACCGGGCTTTATGCCTATGCTTATCTCTGGCCGTCTCCACTAGCGCATAAGGTTCTTTTATACTTATGCTTGAGTCGCAAGTGAGAGGGGGATTTATGAGAAAAGGAGGATCAAGGAGGGTGGGGAGGGGGAGGGGGGAAGAGGGCAATCAAAAAATTAAATTGACCCTTGTCAAGGGGTACTTGAAATAAAAAGAAGCAACGGACAACTTGCCAACAACTGAACTTGCTCAGTCGTTTCGGGTGTAGTCCTCTCTCTGTATGTCAGAAACGTTTTTTTGACATAAACGCAACTCAGATTTGAAACTTTCAAGAGCTTTTTCAGCGTCCTTTTTGGCTTATGTGATAAATTATAATTACTATCAAAACACAGAGTGTCCAGGACCTGTGATGGATCATAGCATACTATTGCCTTTTCTAGATAAGACGGGCAAGGCAATAGCCTTGATGTATTTAGTTGTCCAAACACAAATGAAAATAGCTCTCTCAAAAAGTAACCTGCACAGCTCCAACAAATTCAAACGGGAAGAATTTAGAGAAAAGTTGTGCGTGTCTGCGAAGCTAAGTTACTGGAAGACTCATGCAGAGCACTGCCGAATAGCTGAAAGAGTTCAGTAAAGTTCTATGAGTCCGTGAGTGAAATGAGAGGCCAAAAAATTGAGGAATCAGAAAAGTTGAAAGAACTGGACAAGTACATGCACTATCGCCGGTCAGTTGCAAAGTGAACATGTCAAAGCCGAGTGACGAAGTGCTGCTGTCTATAAAGTCGGCTATAAACTCGCTATTATTGCAGAGTAACAACAGAACCAGGAGTCGAAGAGAAACAAATTGAAGATTCAGAGGACTCGAGCAAAGTGATGACAAAGAAGGAAATTCGATGGATTCATTACATTTACTCCATACACTTACTCCAATGACGAGTGTTGAGGATCATTACTCCGAATAAAATCAGCGTAGAAGAATCTGAAGTAGAAAAAAAGTTCCATTCACCAGATCCGGAAGAAGTACTGGTATCAAAAGAAGAGGGGACACCTCACTCGCAGCCCGTGCCCTCCAGGCGTTTTCAGCCGCGTGGTCAGACCCTTTCAGCCGGGGCCTGTCCACAGTCCATTGGCTATTTTTCAGACCCCACGGTTGTTAATTTAACGCTATCTCTATCCAGTGGATAGAGCGGTTTTTGTTTTCAACTGTTATCCACTGGATAGCGATTTTAAAAGGCGAGGTAAGCCCAATTGCACAAGTTTGTCTTGTAGCTTTGATTGATTGACTTTAAATTTATTTGTAATCGATTGGGGGAAGAGGGGAGGGATAGTACCAAAACACCAGAGTTTAATGCAGAGTGATCTCGACTATTTTGCCATTGGACAAGGAGGGTCTTGAAAAACTTTTACTGCAGAGTAGTTTCTCATCAGTCCCCTCTCCAACATCTTTTTGTGAATTCTCCTTAATATAAGGGCACAACTGACAGAACAGCCGATACCTGATCCACCCTCACCCTGCACCAAACCCCACCCCTCGCGGCCCCTACTCCTGTAGGCGTATCCGGCGCGAAACTACTGACACGAAAGATACAAGAATGTTGTAGGGCATACTTTATATGTTTAAGCAATAGAGCACTTTTATTTTCCGTGTTTACATAGCCTCATCTAAGCAGTAGGAGGGTTGGGAGAATTCGAGACAGTTATGCAAACCCGAGAAGTAGTTGAGGGTTTGCAAAACTTTCGAGAATTCTCCCAGCCCCCCGAGTGTTTAGATGAGGCTATGTAAACATGGAAAAAGATGAAAGATGAAAAAGATGAAAACAGGAAAATACGCGCGAATAGCACTTCTCACGGTTAATTCTTCTCATTTGCATTACAATGTAATCCAACGTGGATGCGAGGCAATTTCGGGCTAAAACTACAAAATAGCCTGAAATTTCCTCACATACCTGCTAGATTTTATTGTAATGCAAATTAGCCTGCGACCAGGCTCCCGGCGAGGACGGAAAAAAATTTCGGCGAGCGCGAAACAGAAGAATTCGGAGAGGGAAGAGATCGGGCGCTTCGTTAAATCGGGCACACCTGGAGCCTGTTCGCAGGCTAAATGCAAATGAGCGAAGGTAACAATGAAAAGGGTTTTTTTCGCGCGAATCTAAAACGTCACAACTGTGTTTACATACTCTCATCTAAACAAACCTATCGACCAATGAGAGCGCGCGTAGTAGCTCAGTTATTTTACAAAACCTCAACGATACTCTAGAAAGACTAGAAAGTGCTAACATGATACAAGATAAAAATACAAGATAAAGATAAAAACAAGACTAGGTTATTTTCTCCATGTGCCTTTTTCGATTTCACGTGACGTTGTGATGATTTTACAGCTAACCTCTTCAGTCCCCTCTCTCACAGTCAGCATATTAAACTCGCTATAAGACTCGCTATAAAACTCGCTTTTGTACCAAAGAATCCTACATGACACACACACAACTTGTTCCCATGTTCCCAGAACAACTCTATTTCTGTAGTCAATGAAGCCTGGGCATTAGATCGCAGAAAACGGCGGGAAGATGGCGGCTCGCCGCGGATCGATGATTGTTGTTTTGCAAATTTAAATGCTGTCAAATTCTGTTGATAGTCTTTTCTTCTGTCGGGGTATAACAGTGTTATCTGTTGGATTATTCTGTCGTTCATAATGCGATTTGACTGAAGCAACTATCTACTGATCCACTGGAGTGACGAATGACGACTCGGTTCGGTTGAAACTGTTCCAAGGTTGTCAAGGTTCTCAGCAATAAGCTTATATAAGCTCAAGCTTGGATAAGTTTATGCTTACGTTTACGTGGATTTGAGAGGTAGGAGAGGGACGATTTATTCACAGTATCATTCGTTACCATTGGTATTGTAATTGATGACACTTTGTCGCTATTTTTCTGTTAAGAAGCACATAAGCAGTTATTAAATTCCACATTTGCAGGTCTTGTCCAAGGTACATTCTGGCAAAGTTGTAACAGTTCTGACAGTCAAATGGATTTATACTGCATCAGGTGAAATCCCAGGTTTTTTTTTTGGGGGGGGGGGGGGGGGGGGGGGTGGGGAGGTGTGAAGGAAGACTACAGGGGTTTTCAAGGTTTGGCCTCCTGTATTCTCCTCTGCTTCTACCTGTATGCTTCTCTCCCGACTCCTACTATTATTGTAGGTCCTAGCTACAACATTAATTTATATTGAATCATTTGCTTTCCTCTCCCAATTTTCACCTTCTGGAAATCCTGCTTAGTGCTATCTTTAATTTACATCTCCTGGCTATGATATTCTTCCCAAGTGCTCCCTTTTTAACTTGTTGTAGTGGTGGAGCAATTTCACCCCTTCACGCCATTACTGGGTTGCTTCTTGTTAGACATTTGGAATCCCGGGAGGGAACCCCCATATGAAAAGGTCAGGGATGCTTGTTGGAAAATTGGAATTTAACCCCTAAAGGAGCCTAATGTGGTAGTTGCTTGAGCTTCATTAGACCCCTAAAAGATATCACTTAAAAAGGAATAGGTTTGATTACGAGACACTGTTCAAGAAAGGATCCAACGTGCACTAGCAGAACCGATTCGGGTACTTGCGAGCAGAAATCATGCCTAAAATTGAAACAGAAATTTAATGAGAGCATTTCTTTTATCTTTATTTCTTCGAGAGCACCCTAAAGGATACTTGGTGATGTTTTGTCATCAATGCCCTAAGTGAGACCAGAATCTTTGATTTGTACCTGAGATGTAGGAGTCCCCCCAGTTTTCGAACATCTGCCGTCTAAGGCTGTTTCACAGTTGCTTGTACTGTGTCAAGTTAGTTATTCTTTGAATTTCTGACACAAGTACTCATGTTACCGCACAAATGAACTACATCAAATAGATTTTCGCATGAATGCTTTTATGTGTAGAAGCCATACAAGTATGTAATTGTATAAATAGCTCATTTCCCTAAAGATATTGAAAGAAGATAGAAAGATAGAAAGAAGATAGAAAGATAGAAAGAAGATAGAAAGATAGAAAGAAGATAGAAAGAAGATATTGAACGTCACTAAATTGATGAGCTGGATGAATATTCGAATGATTCAAGCTGTGATTAAAAGTTTTAGACGATCCACAGACAAGAGAATTGAGGAGAATTTTAATGACATGTTTCGCTATTATTTATACGGTATGGTAAAAAATACACCTAAATATGGACATGGCAAAATGATATAAACAAATAGTTGATAAATAGAAGAAAGGAAATTACACAAGGTTGGGAGTTCTGCAGTCTTTAATATCGCCTTGGAAAGGGAAGAAAAAAAAAAAAAGAAATTAAAGAAGTTATTACAACAAGGGGTATTTGTATTTGGTCACCCAGCCAAGTAGGAACCCCACTGAACAGGGTTTAACTTTGTTGAGCAGATGAGATGCAGTGCTGTTCTTGTGGTATAGGGACTCTACATTGGATACAATTTGTTTAATTTCTAAGATATCTCAAAAGGTAACAAAAAAAGAAAAAAATTCACTGATACAGGCTTGGAAAATAAAGAATGAAAAGATTAAGAATGAAAATGAGAATTATTACTTGCTTTGGTGATCGGACAAGAAGCGGTAAGTACTTTCTTTATATGGTCTTGGTATGTCAGACAAGGATAACCTATAACTTCATGAATGTTTCCAACGGTGTCGCATCTCCTCCAGTATTCTCTTACCATTGCATTTTGCACTATTTCCTAACAATGCCAGTCCATAACTTAGCCCACAGATTAAAACCTCAAGTCAGTGGCATCAAAATTGCCCCTGTTTACAGACAGTTGAGTGTCTCATAGCCACTTTGATTTGTCCAAGTTGTGAACTCCTGCACGGCACCCTCTTCGTTAGGTTAAATCTTTGTTCGAACCTTTTGTCCCATTAGGCCAGCAATTGCCTCCAGCTTCCAAGGCATAAAGCAAAGAGGAGTATTTCTACACTTCCTCCTGGATGGGATGCTAGTCCATCACATGATTACCCCCCAGAATTTCGTTTGCTAGTACCCATACTCCTGGGTGGAGACAGGCGTTGTGAGAGTAATTAATTGTCTCGCCCAATCACACAACACAGTGACCCTGGCTAGGGCTTGAAACCAGACTACTTGATCTGGAGGCCAGTGTACTAACCCTTAGGCCACCATGCTACCCACACTCCTTCACCTTTTTCAAACCCTAAAAGTTCTATGGTATAGCATTTGTTTCTTGCAAAGATTGTTTCATGTTAATGTACAGAACAAATGGTATTTATTTCTTAACATTCATGTCACAGTTGAGAAAAGAACAACTCAAGATTTTTATCATACATTTATCTTATTATAATTTGTTACCTAAACCTGTACATTTGTAGTGTATGTGTTAACAAAAGTAAACTGTAATAATAAGTTTATTTCTGTGTCAAGTAACTAGTAAAACGAATGATCGTTCTACTAGTAGGAGACACATAAAAGAGTAAAATAAAATAAATACTTTTTACAAGAATAAAACAAAATACATGATAATTATTAAGAAGAAAAACTATATACATACAAATTTCTATCACATGATAGTTGATGAGGGTGTAGCCTGAGTCAACTATTATGCATAGATATCAAGAGCAAATTATCTAATTGTTTTTACAGTATAAACCTACTCTAAAACATTCACAACTTGAACAACAATCCTCTTGGCAGAAATGTTAACTTTGAAAATGCTAAGAAACAGCCACCATTTTGTTAACAACCACACATTGCTAGGCTACTCACTTTCTCTGTACAACAATATATAGTGAGTAGCGTAGCCAAAAGCAGAACGGTATTTGTGATAGAACACTTAGTAGATTTATACCAAAAATAAAAAAATATAAACACATAAACCTCTCAAGAATGGAAAACTCTAGTCTAAAACTTCAATAGGTAACAGACAGACACTTTGAAACAGTCAGCAAACAGGTAAGATTTCCCTTTGATAAATAATACTTTGGCTCAGAATGAACATTATGGATGGTTAGTAATACTCTTGGAGAAACAATTTCTGCTTTAAGGCTGTGTTTAAAAACTGCATTGGAGCCTTGACATACAACAAACTTTCCTGGCTTCATCTTATTACCAGATAGTCAAACAAACTTGCCATTTCTTGGAAAAAAAGAATTAACTTCAACTTTGACTCATTCTTTCAAGATTTCCTGTTGTGTCAAGTTACGTTGATGCCCTCTAAGATGGATACTTAGCTCCTGAAAACAAACATTAGATGCTGGAGCCAACAGTGTTCATCTTAGAGAAAGTTAACTGTTGTGAACAGCTGGTTACAGGAAAAATATATATAGAAAAAAAACCTGAAAGGTCCTGCTTGGTTATTTCACTAATCACAATGTCGACATTGCCTGAACTTCTCCTTGACTAACAGGGCATTCTCTGAGCAAATTAAGCTTCAATGTTAAACTGGTGGTTCAGTGTATAATCAAGAGTGGGAANGGGGGGGGGGTCAAGACACGAGGGAGGAATAACTTTCCAGCAGTACTGAACATTTAACCATTTAAGACTGAATAAGGATTTTTTTTTTTAGTTCCTAATTCTTTTCTGGAAATATCTTGCTTTTGCTATGTGCAGTCATAAAGACAAGACGGAACATTTTACTGTGATTAGTGATTATTTTGTTCTTTACTTTACATCTTTCACACCTTTCTTGTACTTTACTAAGTTGGAGCTGGATTTACTAAGTTGAGCTGGATAACATTAACAATATCAATTCATCTTTCATATAAATTTTTTTAAAAAATGTTGTTAACACCTTAATTAAATGGATTGACTCTCATTGAAACCTTCCTTTCTACAATGACCATTAATGCATGTACACAGGTTTAATTAATTTTTTTGACAGGTATTTTTTAAATGATCTGGATTATAAATAATTATTTATACCAGTAGCTAAATCTGATTTACCATTTTAAAAATGATAAGTGAAAAACTCTAAATAGCCATTTAAGCATTGTCAACTGTAGTGTCTTGTCTTTTGACTGTTTGAGGAAGATTGTTTGTGGTAGCCAGACTGATAGAATATAAGTTATCACTGCAGCCATGTCTTACAGGTCACGCTATAACAAAAAACAGCAGGATACTTACTGCACCATCTGGTCCTGTACATCAAGAGATCTTTTCTGGTAGCTAGGCATGTAAAATCTTTTTTAGCCGACAGATGCAATAAGACCAATAGGCCTCTGGGTTAGTAGGTAATGGCTATAGCTTGTACAAATACTGACCTGTAAAATATATTTTCTGAACACACACGTTTCCTCATGTTAAGGATTTTCAAACCAAAATAATGTTGAGAAGAGCAGTATCTAGAGCTAGAATTACTAAAAGTGGAAATTGGAACACTGCTCTGTCAACACCAGCTTAATTTGGACACCTACACCTGTACTTATTATGGATAGTTTTTTTTGACCTGATGGAAAGCTTAAGTTAAAGGTGTCTTATGTGTGCCCTCTTAGTACACAATAACACACTCAAAAAAAAAAAAAGAATTTAACTTCACTTTGCAGCAGGAGTGGTTATCTCACGCAATTGTTACTTTAGAGATTGTGCACTTATTGTACCCTGTAAGAAAATAATTTAGTTTTCTTTAAATTAATGTACTTTATATTAAAAGTCATTAAGATTTTGTTTGCACATTTGAAACAGACAATGGGAGAATGTTTGTTTACAATATTTGCCTCATTATCATAAGCAATACAGTTTCTGATGGAGCTACAAAGAGATTAATACTGAATATTGAAAGGGCACAGCACGATTAACTGTCCCAAGGAATTTGAGCGCGATG